TCTCTGCCTAGTTCCAGAGCTGGCCAGTCCTAACCCTACTCTCCCACCCCAGACGCTCTTCTTACTTCTGGCTTTGCAATGCACTGGACGTCTATTGCCCTGTTCAGTGGGAGTATGGTCGCCTCAACCTGCACTACGCTGTTGTCTCTAAGAGGAAGATCCTCCAGCTTGTAGCAACTGGTGCTGTGCGGTAGGTGTGGCTGTTTGGCTTATTAACGGTTAATGACATGTACTCCCAAAGGCCTTCTCACCACCACCTTCTTATCCACAGGGACTGGGATGACCCACGGCTCTTTACACTCACGGCCCTGCGACGACGGGGTTTCCCACCTGAAGGCATCAACAACTTCTGTGCCCGGGTATAGGCCAGCAGGTTGGGTGGACAGATGGGGATTAAGTGTGGCAGTTTGTGATTGTATCTGTGACTGATGCTGAACTTACCTGCCAGGTGGGAGTGACAGTGGCACAGACCACAATGGAGCCACATCTTCTAGAAGCCTGTGTGCGTGATGTGCTGAATGACACAGCCCCACGAGCCATGGCTGTGCTGGAGTCACTACGGGTCACCATCACCAACTTTCCCACTGCTAAGGTGGGCCTGCCTCAACATGAGTATCTGCATGTGTGTGTTTGTGTGTGTGTGTGTGTGTGTTTAGCGGTACACCTGGCCCTGGGCATGGTGGTACTTGTGCTGAGTATGACTCATACCTGTCTCCTGATTTAGTCCTTGGACATCCAGGTGCCCAACTTTCCAGCTGATGAGACCAAAGGCTTCCATCAGGTTCCTTTCGCACCCATTGTGTTCATTGAGAGGACTGACTTCAAGGAGGTAAATGGTGGGAGTAGAGGATCCTGTTTGCTGCTGAGTCTGGTCCTGGGAATCTTTCATCCTCATCTCTTGTCAGTTCATCTACTTCCTGCTTCTGATGAACCAGTCCTTGCCAGACATGGCGGTGGGGAAGCCTCCCCACTTGTTTGATCCTTGCAGTCTCTTGTGTCTACCCTACTTCCTATCTCTAGGAGCCAGAGCCAGGCTTTAAGCGCCTGGCTTGGGGCCAGCCTGTGGGCCTGAGGCATACAGGCTACGTCATTGAGCTGCAGCGTGTTATCAAGGTGAGAGCCAACTGCAGCCTTCCTACTGCAGTGCCTGCTGGGGCCAGGATGTGAGTGCAGCCTGCAATCCTGGTCGTGGTTCCCGGGTCTAATTGCTGCTCCCCTCCCCCCCACTTCTAGGGCCCCAGTGGTTGTGTAGAGAGTCTGGAGGTAACCTGCAGAAGGGCAGATGCTGGAGAGAAGCCAAAGGCCTTTATTCACTGGGTGTCACAGCCTTTGACATGTGAGGTTCGCCTCTATGAGCGACTGTGAGTGAATAGAGCTGGGGTGGGGACAGGTACAAGATGCTCATTGCCTGCTGTGGCTGCTTAGCTGGGGGTATGACCTTCTCTCTGGCTGCAGATTCCAGCACAAGAACCCTGAAGATCCTACTGAGGTGCCTGGTGGATTCTTAAGTGACCTGAACCCAGTAGGTTCATGGGGTTTGGGATGAGGGAGGTATGCCTTCCTGGTTGGATGGTTGCCTGAGTTCCCTGCTTGCAGGCATCACTACGCGTGGTGGAGGCAGCATTAGTGGACTGCTCTGTGGCCCTGGCAAAACCCTTCAACAAGTTCCAGTTTGAGCGTCTTGGGTACTTCTCTGTGGATCCAGACAGCCATCAGGGAAAGGTGCTTGACTTTACCCACCTGCCCTTAACTGTAGCAGTGACAGTGGCTGCCATTCACTGTACCACATGCTCTGCCTACATTTCCTTAGTAAATCCTCACCACCTAAGGAGGTCAGTGTTCATATTCTACTAATGAGGAAACTGGACACTAAGGATAAGTTCATGCACAAAATTTTGTATGAAGGCTGCCTTTCTTTTTTTCTTTCTTTTTTTTTTTGCTCTGTTGCCCAGCCTGGAGTGCAGTGGCATGATGTTGGCTCACTGTAACTTCTGCCTCACGGGTTCAAGCGATTCTCAGGCCTCAGTTTCCCGAGTAACTGGGACCACAGGTGCGTGCCACCACGCCTGGCTAATTTTTTGTATTTTTAGTAGAGACAGGGTTTCACCATGTTAGCCAGGACGGGTCTCAATCTCCTGACCTCGTGATCTGCCCACCTTGGCCTCTTAAAGTGCTGGGATTACAGGTGTGAGGCACCACACCCAGACCTGGCTTCTTTTTTCTTTAATTATTATTTTTTGGGGCTGGGTGTGGTGGCTCACACCTGTAATCCCAGCAGTTTGGGAGGCCGAGGCAGGAAGATCACCGGAGGTCAGGAATGAGACCACCCTGGCCTACATGGTGAAAACCCTAGCTCTTCAAAAAAAGAAAAGAAAAAAAAAAAAAAAAAAAAAAAAAAAAATATATATATATATATATATATATATATAATTATTATTTTAATATCTTTCATTAAGGCAGCTAATAACCTTTCTATTTATTTAAAGACAGGGTCTTACTCTTGCCCATGCTGGTGTGCAGTGGTGCAATCATAGCTCACTGCGGCCTCAAACTGCTGGGCTCAAGCTGTCCTCCCAGCTTAGTAGCTGAGACTACAGGTGCACACTACCATGCCTGGCTAATTTGAAAATTTTCTGTGGAGGCTGGTCTTGAATTACTGGCTTCAAGCAGTCCTCCTATTCAGCTTCCCAGAGTGCTGGGATTATAGGCATGAGCCATTGACTGTGCCCACTCACCTTACCGTTATTTTTATTTTTTGAGATGGAGTCCTGCCCTGTTGCCCAGGAGTACAGTGGCACCATCTTGGCTCACTACAACCGCCGCCTCCCAGGCTCAAGCCATTCTCCTGCCTTCCGAGTAGCTGGGATTATAGCCATATGCCACCACGCCCAGCTAATTTTTGTATTTTTAGTAGAGACAGTTTTGCCACTTTGGCCAGGCTCGTCTTGAACTCCTGACCTCAGGTGATCCGCCAGCCTCAACCTCCCAAAGTGCTGGGATTACAGGCATGAACCACTGTGCCCAGCCCACCTTGCCTTTCTCACTCCTCAAAGTAGGGGGCAAACATAGCGGTTGTTATCCATATAAAACTATAGCCTAGAGCTCCATCCAGTCCCTTGCCCAAGTCACAAAGTTATAGAGGACCTGGGTCTCCTGATCCTTAGTCCCCAGGTTGTTTGGCTTAAGAAGGAAGTTAGGGGGAGGTATCTGTGGTGAAACCTGCCCAGGACTCCCTGGCCTTGTTCTGGGGAGGTGGTCATTATTTTTGCTCTGCTTTCCAGCTTGTTTTTAACCGAACTGTGACACTGAAGGAAGACCCGGGGAAGGTGTGAGCTGGATATACTGTGAACCTACCTCGTCCTCCTGGAGGTTGGGGCTACCCTCACCACCCCAAATTCCATGTTAATAAAGAACAGCTAAATTATGCTGGAGTCTATGTGTTATCTGCCTGCTCTTCCACCATCTGAGGGCCCTGGAGACATGCTAGTAGTGGTGGTGTGGGTGGGGAATAATGTGCCTTTTGCACATTTTGTCTGTGAGAATGGGCTTTCCCAGAAAAGAGTGGTACTGACAGCTTTGAAAGCACTGGTGCACTTTTTGGTGCTTAAAGGCAGGGGCCTGCGTGGGATTCATACCCTCCGTACCTGGTCTGACAGAATGGAAGGCTCTGGTTAGGACCCCTGTGCCAGAGGGATCTAAAAGATTTGTTTCTGCTGGTGTGAAGTAGAGAGGTCTGGCTCCCAGTCTGATCATTCAGTATATATATATATATATATATATATTTTTAGATGGAGTTCCACTTTGCAGCCCAGGCTGGAGTGCAGTGGCTCCATCTTGGCTCACTATACAACCTCCGTCTCCTTGCTTTGAGTGGTTCTCGGGCCTCAGCCTCCCAAGTAGTAGCTATAATTACAGGTGCGTGCCACATCTGGATAATTTTTGTATTTTTTGTAGAGACGGGGTTTCACTATGTTGGTCAGGCTGCTCTCGAACTCCTGATCTCAGGTGATCCGCCCACTCAGCCTCCCAAAGTGCTAGGATTACAGGGGTAAGCCACTGCACCTAATCAGCATTTTTTTTTTTTTTGAGACAGTTTCGCCCTTGTTGCCCAGGATGGAGTGCAATGGCGCGATCTTGCCTCACTGCAGTCTCCACCTCCCAGGTTCAAGCGATTCTCCTGCCTCAGCCTCCCAAGTAGCTGGGATCACAGGCATGCACAACCACACTCAGCTAATATTGTATTTTCAATAGAGACGGAGTTTCATTCACCACGTTGGCCAGGCTGGTCTCGAACTCCTGACCGCAGGTGTTCCACCCGCCTTTGCTCCCAAAGTGTTGGAATTACGGGCGTCAGCCATCGCGCCCGGCCCATTCAGCATATAATTTTTTAGTGCCTACTACATGCCAGGCACAGTGAGATGTGGCACACATGCTGTGATAGCCTTCCAAGTTAACTGGAGGAGAAAGGGGTGACCAAACACTGCATGGGAGAGCTCTCCCTGGGCCCTGTCCAAGGCTGGAAAAGACTACTCTCACGAAGTGACTTCTGAAGGGAATCACAAAAGACCATGGGGAGTTGGCCAGGATAAGAGGAAAAAGGGCAAAAACCCCGAGGCAAAAGGAGTCTACAGCAGGCTGGAAGCCCTCTGGGGGCTGTGTGGGCTGCTGCTGAGGCCTGCGTGTGCCTGCAGCTTTAACGCCTTCCACATTTTCCCTGTATACAAACACCAGGCTACCAGGGGGCCCGCTTTAAGGTGGCCCAGACTGCGGAAGGCTGAACTCAGACGGCAGCAGTTGGCAGGAGTCCCAGAGGGTGAGTCCTTCAGAAGGTAAGAGCTCTAGAGGCTTCCCAGGCGGGGTACGGCAGGGGACGCCGAGCCCAGGACAAAAGTTTGCGGGGTCCACCTTAAGCGAGAGGCTGAGCCCGGCCGGGCCCCGCCCCGCGTAGGGGTGCTCGACCAAAGGAGGCTCAGGCGGGCGACAGAAGGTGGGTCCAAGGAGCCAGCTTCGAGTCCTAGCCTTCGGAGGCTCCACTACCATGCTAAGCCCCCGCCCTAGCTCCGCCCCAAACGGTGGGGCGTCCAGAGGCGGGGCGAGTCGCTCCACGCCCTGGGATTCAGATCCGCTCTAGCCGCCAGAGGCGCGGCCTGTCTCCCCCTGCTGAAGCGTTCACTTTAAGTCTGGCCGGGAGGCAGCTCCAGATCTCGCGGGATCCGAAGCCCCGAGTCTCGCGAGAGGGACAATCAGCTCCCATTGGCTGTGAGGGTTGAATGTAAGATGGCGCCCAGGGAGCTGTGAGGAGAAAACCCTGTCGGTCTTGGAGCTACGACGGCAGAACCGGGGTCCCGGGCGGTGCGGCGGGGCCAGCGGGTAGAGCGGAGGCGGCGGCGGCGGTGACGTCGCCGGGTGAGGGCTCCAGTGTGGGCGAGGATGCGGCGAGGCTGTGGGCCTGGGACGGCGGGCCCACCCCACACAACGGCGGGCGGGGGCGGGCGGGCCGCTACCGCTGGGCCTTGAGAGCTCGGGGCGGCTCCGTAGCTGAAAACGTCCCTGGGCTCGCGTACCCCGCCCTGCGAATGGGGGAGGGGTGGGCCGGGGATTTGGGTGGGCGCGGCGCGACATCGCGCGCTGGTGCGGGCGCGCGTCTAAACCTGTTTTTACGCGCGGGAGCGCGCGCGCTGTGCGGCTCTCTCGGTGCGCGTGGCCGCCGACGTGCGCGTTCCCCGCCCGGATATCTCTGCTCTCTGAGCTTTGGCCCGCGGGCAAGAGAGGCTTTCCAGGGCGCGCGCCCGCCACGACCCCCCGTTTGGTGCGCGCGCCCTGATGTTGGGTGGCGGTGCTGCCTCGAGAGCGCGCAGGAGGCCTCTGCTGAGCGGAGGGCTGGCCGCGGCGCGTTGCGTGGGGAAGGTTGAGGATTGGGTCTTTTCTGGTCTGGTGACGTTTTCGGGCATCCGTGGCCTAGGCCTGGAGAGAAACAAACTAGCTTTGCTATCTGGCTTGCGGCTCCGCTCTTCCGTGAAGGGGGCGAGATCGCCTGTTCTCCTCTAATAATGCTGTTACTTGAGGCCCAAGTGCGGGGTGGGTGCTTGGGTAGGGTGCTTCTCTGCTTCAGAAACCAAGCCCTGTTGGCTTGAGAGGGCAAGGAGCCCCTTCGGGTTTCCTCACCTTGTACTGGGCTTTGTGCCGGGCAGGTACCTGCATATCTTTCATTAGAAACTAATACGTCCAGAAGCGCAGTTCTTACACGTCACCTCTGCGCTCCGGAAGGGAATTCTCTTATGTGGACGTTGTGAACTCTCTAAAATGCCACTTTAAATCCTTAAACGCAGTCTTTTCTTTTCCGTAGGTGGGAGGGGCTTACTTTAGTCTGTTATCCTAAGGGCCCACCATTGCCTCAGCCAAAAAGTTACCTTGAACAAAATTGAACAACCTGAGAATCAATGCTTTACCTTTTTTGAAATTCTAGAACTCTCCAGCAGAAATTTCTAAAATCTGACTGTGTATCGCTGTAAAAGTCACTTTTTGTTTAGGATTTCAATCCTTTTCAGCTTTTTTTTTTTTCACCCCACCACTGTGTTTTGGTGTCAAGGAAGTTCTAGGTTTGTCCTAGAGAATTATGCACTTTTTTTTTTCTAATACAAAACATCTGCTAGTTTATGATTTACAGTCTTGCTCCATTAAGCTTAAGGAAAAGGAAGCTAAGAGGAAGTAAACTTAGCAATCAAATTTGATAATGGTGGGGTAGTTCTTTCTAATGTACTGTATTTTTTTTAAGAACAAAGTTAAAATTATTAATAAAAAGAGGCTGAGGATGGAAGGAACTTTTTTGTTCTATCTTCTTCAGAATATTAGAAGTCTTAAGAACTCAGGACAAGCAACAGAAATACATGCAACATGGTGACTGGTGAGTTAAAATTGTTCATATGCTGGAAGTATGTGTGCATAGTTTTTTTTTTTTTTTTTTTTTTTTTTTTGGTAATGCTGAAGCATTACAAATCCTGTCAATTATTCTGGGTGCTGTCTTCCAGAAACTGTTAAGTGCTGTAGAATGAAGATGTGGGAGAACAGCATCTTTGAATTCAGCCGCAGTTTGCTACTTGGGCACTTTTCTCCTCTGAGGATGCAAGTCAGTGGAACCCACAGATTTAAGCATGGCAAGGAATCATCTTTTAAAAGGACCTAAATGGTTCAAAGAAAAGCTGTAAAGTTTACACTAAACATTTTGATACTTAATATATTTTTTGAGACAGTCTCACTTTGTAGCCAGGACTGGAGTGCAGTGGTGCGATCTTGGCTCACTGCAACCACCGCCTCCTGGGTTCAAGGGATTCTTCTGCCTCAGCCTCCTGAGTGGCTGGAATTACAGGCCCGTGTTATCACACCCGGTAATTTTTGTATTTTTGGTAGAGATGGGGTTTCACCATGTTGGTCAGGCTGATCTCAAACTCCTGACCTCCTGATCCACCCACCTTGGCCTCCCAAAGTGCTGGGACTATAGTGTGAGCCACTGCACCTGGCCAAATTTTGATACATTTTTTGGGTCTGTCTGTTTTGAATTATCTTTGTTTTTAACTATTATGCTTGAGATCTTCCTTTGAAATTAGCGTTTAAAAATAATGTTTCTCAGCCGGGTGTGGTGGTTTATGCCTGTAATCCCAGCATTTTGGGAAGCCCAGGAGGGTGGATCACTTGAGGTCAGGAGTTCAAGACCAGCCTAGCCAACATAGTGAAATCCTGTCTCTACTGAAAATGAAAAATTAGCCAGGTGTGGTGGTGGGTGTCTGTAATCCCAGCTACTTGGGAGGCTGAGGCAGGGGAATGGCTCGAACCTGGGAGATGGAGGTTGCAGTGAGCAGAGATTGTGCCACTACACTCCAGCCTGGGTGACAGAGTGAGACTCCATTTCTCTCTTTTTTTTTTTTCCCCGCTCTTGTTACCAGGCTGGAGTGCAATGGCGCAATCTCGGCTCACCGCAACCTCCGCCTCCTGGGTTCAGGCAATTCTGCCTCAGCCTCCTGAGTAGCTGGGATTACAGGCACACGCCACCATGCCCAGCTAATTTTTTGTATTTTTAGTAGAGACAGGGTTTCACCATGTTGACCAGGATGGTCTCGGTCTCTTGACCTTGTGATCCACCCGCCTCGGCCTCCCAAAGTGCTGGGATTACAGGCTTGAGCCACCGCGCCCAGCTGAGACTCCATCTCAGAAAAAAGTTTCTCCAAGTTTGTCAACTATGATTTGCTTATTTAGATGTCTTCCTTCGGGTCCTCTCTGATGAATTATTTGTATATCTCTTCAAGAACCTCTGCAGTTCCACATGCTTTTTCTAGCTTGTGTTGCCATTTCAAACTAAAGATCAAATAGTGGTTAAATTTTTTTGTAAATTTGAATAGCTCTAGAAAAGTAACCAAAGTCAGGGACTCTGGATGTGGCTGCCCTTCTTTAAGGCAGCTTCATAATCATTTTTGTCTTTCCTTACATTTGCATATGCTTTCTTTTAGTTTAATTAGTTATGGTATAAGTTTGTTGTGCCATGCTTCTTTCTTGTCTGTGTTTTATTTATTTATTTGCTTTTTTGAGGCAGACTTGCTTTGTTACCTAGGCTGGAAGACAGTGGCACGATCACAGCTCACTGCAACCTCTGCTTCCCAGGTATAAGTGATTCTCCTGCCTCAGCTTCCCAAGCAGCTGAGATTACAGGCATGCACCACCACACCTGGCTAATTTTTGTATTTTTAGTAGAGTCGGGGTTTCACCATGTTGGCCAGGCTGATCTTGAACTCCTGAACTCAGGTGATCCACCCGCTTTGGCTTCCCAAAGTGCTAGGATTACAGGTGTGAACCACCTTGCCCAGCCTCTTGTTGGCTTTTTTTTTTTTTTTTTTTTTTTTTTTTTTTTTTTTTTTTTTTTTTGAGATGGAGTCTTGCTCTATCTTCCAGGCTGTGGTGTAGTGGCTCGATCTTGGCTCGCGGCATCCTCCGCCGCCTGGATTTAATTGATTCCCCTGCCTCAGCCTCCTGAGCAGCTGGGACTACGGGCACGTGCCACCGCACTCAACTAAATTTTTTGTGTTTTAGTAGAGACTGGGTTTCACCATGTTGGCCAGGATGGTCTCGATCCCCTGACCTCGTGGTCCACCTGCCTCAGCTTCCCAAAGTGCTGGGATTACAAGCCACCGTGCCCGGCCCCTCTTTTTTGCTTTTTAAATGGCCACTCTTGATCTGTAAGGGTCTCTTATTTCTGAATTAGCCTTAGAATTAGGTGTTACATGAATACTTGCTCTTTTCTCTTATTCTGTTGCCCTGCATTTTGTTCCAGATGTTTTAAGTCCTCTCCAGACTTCACTTAAATGCTTCCTTTGTATTATTTTTTCCCAGTTATTTTTTAGATTGTGATTTCTGTTATTAAATTGACATGGCTGCATGAAGAAATGATAGATTAATTTTTTCTTTTGATGAAGGGTAGGAGTGCTCCTTTGGTCTCACTCTTAAGGCCAGGGCAAAACTAGGTAGAACTGGTGGCTGTGTTAGAAATCTAATGTGTTTTTCTTTTTTAAAAATTTGTCATATATCCACCCATGTAAATTTAGGCGATACCTGTACAATTTAATGAAAAATTATAGATTAATGCTGGTGTAAGTACTACTTTTTCAAGTAATAATGCCAGTATCCCTGAACCCTTTGTGGGTTCCTTCTGGATCACAGCTTCTCAAGCCCTGTGGACAACTGTTACTCTGCGATGATAGCATTCTTTTTCTTTTTGCCTTTGCCACCTTTGTAACCCTTAACCTAGTTTAGCTTTGTTTCTTTTTGAGTTTTATATAAATGGAGTCATGCTGTATTTTCTTGTCTCTTTTTAGCATAATATTTCTGAAATTGTTCACATTGTCTGCAGCTGTTCATTCCGTTTTTTTATGTGGTATTCTGTTGTATGAATATACCATAATGTATTTCTCTATGGCACTATTGATAGACATCTGGGTTGCTTCCACGTTTTGGCTGTTAACAATGCTGCTGTGAATGTTCTTGTGTAAGTACCCTTGTAAAAAAAAAAGTTCCTTCATATACACTGATGGGTAAATTGCTTAGTAGCAATAGATATTTTCAGTCTCACTAGATAATGCAAGTGGTTGTGCCAATTTACAATCTGTTAGTATTTGGGAGATATAAGAATTTTAATTTCCTAATTGAAAATAGAACTATGGCCAGGATCAGTGGCTCACATCTGTAATCCCAGTAGTTTGGAAGGCCAACGCTGGCAGATCACCTGGGGTCAGAAGTTTCAGACCAGCCTGGCCAACATGGTGAAACCCCATCTCTACTAAAAATACAAAAATTAGCTGGGCATGGTGGTGGGCACCTGTAATTCTAGTGACTTGGGAGGCTGAGGCAGGAGAATCACTTGAACCTGGGAGACAGAGGTTGCAGTTAGCCAAGATTGTGCCATTGGACTCCAGTCTGCGAGACTAGGCGAGACTCCATTTCAAAAAAGAAAAAAATGAACCATGATGAAAATGCCCCTAAACCAGGGACTCCTCTATAAAGGTATGGGGCAGATGATTGGCCTAATGGGATATTTTCCATCACTGCAGTGGGCTAATATCCTTAAGAATAGAAACATGGGTGGAACACAGTAGCTCATGCCTGTAATCCTAGCAGTTGGGGAGGCGAAGATGAGAGGATTGCTTGAGCCCAGGAGTATGAGACCAGTCTGAGCAAAATGACAAGACCCTGTCTCTACAAAAAAAAATAAAAATAGCCGGATGTGGTGGCATGGGCCTAGTCCCAGCTACTCGGGAGGCTGAGGCAGGAGGATTGTTTGAGCCCAGGAGTTTGATGCTACATGGAGCTGAGAATACACTACTGCATTCTAGCCTTGGTAATGGAACAAGATCCCATTTCATTTAAAAAACAAAACAAACAAACTAAAAAACCAGACAAACGGCTGGGTACAGTGGCTCACGCTTGTAATCCCAGCACTTTGGGAGGCTGAGGGGGTCAGATCACCTGAGGTCAGGAGTTAGAGAACAGCCTGGCCATCTAAAAATAAAAAAAAAATTAGCTGGGCATGGTGGTATGTGCCTGTAGTTGCAGATATTTGGTAGGCTGGGGCAGGAGAATTGCTTGAAACTAGGAAGGGTTCAAGTCACACTTTGTCGCCCAGGCTAGAGTATACAGTAGTGTGATCTCGGCTCACTGCAACCTTCGCCTCCTGGGTTCAAGTGATTATTGTGCCTCATCCTCTGGAGTAGTTGGGACTACAGGCAGGTGCCACCACCCTGGGCTAATTTTTTTTTATTATTAGTAGAGACGGTTTCACCATATTGGCCAGGCTGGTTGCGAATTCCTGACTCAAGAGATCCACCCACCTCGGTCTCCCAAAGTGCTGGGATTACAGGTGTGAGCCACTGCGCCCAGACTATTTTATTTTATTTTATTTATTTATTTTGAGACAAAGTCTGCCTTTGTCACCCAGGCTGGAGTATGGTGGTGTGATCTCAGTTCACTGCAGTCTCGCCTTCTGGGTTCAAGCAATTCTGCCTTAGCTTCCTAAGTAGCTGGGACTACAGGTGGGAATGGCCATGCCCAGCTAATTTTTGTTTTTTGTTTTAAAGACAGGGTTTCACCATGTTGGTCAGGCTGGTCTTGAACTCCCGACCTCAGGTGATCCACCCGCCTCGGCCTCCAAAGAGCTTGGATTACAGGCGTGAGCCACCACGCCTGGCCAATTTTTGTATTTTTAGTAGAGATGGGGTTTCACCATGTTGGCCAGGCTGGTCTCGAACTCCTGACCTTGTGATCCACCTGCCTTGGCCTCCCAAAGTGCTCAGATTACAGGTGTGAGCCACTGTGCCCAGCCACATATGAATGTATTGAAACTGGTCTAAGCTATGAAGAGCCATTGTTGGAGTAGATGTGAACCTTGAGGGAGCTCAAAGCCCAAGGAAGAGGTAAAGTTCTGAGGCAGCTCATACTTTCTTCTCGTGGTCCATCACAGATTCAAGACTCACTCTGCAGAGCCATACGGGGAGCCCAAAAGAGGTATCAGGCATAAGAAACCCAAGAAAGGGTGATTGCACTGAGATCTTTTGTTGGTACCTAAGTGGAAAAAAGAAAGAAATTTGCAAACAGACCTATAGAAATGTAATATACTGTTGTTTTGGAGTAACCTTTGTCCATGGTAGTACGTCTTATGTTCTAGTAATAAAATAATAAAAATAATAACTCATGTATTTAGGAATTGCTGTGTGTCAGGCACTATGCTAAGCTCTAGTAGAAGAAGATACAGAGGAGATAGCAGTGATCAATTTGAATTTATACCAGCAAAAATGTCCAGGGTCTGTTTAAGGGAGTGCTGGTTTTCCTTTATTGTTTTACAAAGCAGGTATGATTAAAGCATTGAGAAATAAATGCTTCTTTACAGACCTCATATACCCCAAGAGCATTAGGGTATTTTCTTTTTTCATTATTAATCTTTTTTTTTCTTTTAATTTTTTTGCAACACGATCTTCAAAACATCATTACCAGTCTTATCAGAGTCCTGGAACACTCAAATATTCTTAAGGCTGCATGGTTTTCAGAAATACTTTAATTTTTTTTTTTTTTTTTTTTGAGACGAAGTTTCACTGTTGTTACCCAGGTAACAATGCACGAGTGCAATGGCACGATCTCGGCTCACCGCAACCTCTGCCTCCTGGGTTCAAGCAATTCTCCTGCCTCAGCCTCCTGAGTAGCTGGGACTACAGGCGCGCACCACCATGCCCAGCTAATTTTTTGTATTTTTAGTAGAAACGGGGTTTCACCTTGTTGACCAGGATGGTCTCAAATCTCTTGACCTTGTGATCCACCCACCTCGACTTCCCAAAGTGCTGGGATTATAGGCGTGAGCCACCACGCACAACCAATACTTTAATTTCTTTACTGCTTCTCACTAATTTTACTTGGAGCTAGTTTAGAATCTTTTGTCTGTTTTAGAAGTTTCTTCATTTCTCTTTTTTTGAGATGGAGTTTCGCTCATTACCCAGTCTGGAGTGCAGTGGCGCCATCTCGGCTCACTGCAACCTCCGCCTCCAGGGATCAAGCAGTTCTCCTTTCTCAGCCTCCTGAGTAACTGGGATTACAGGTGCCTGCCACCACGCCCAGCTCATTTTCGTATTTTTAGTAGAGACAGGGTTTTACCATATTGGCCAAGTTTGTCTTGAACTTCCTGACCTCAGGTGATTTGTCCACTTCGTCCTCCCAAAGTGCTGGGATTACAGGCGTGAGCCACAATACCCAGCATCCCCACCTTCCTTTTTTATTCTTAAGATGGAGTTTTGCTCTTGTTGCCCAGGCTGGAGTGCAGTGGCATGACCTCGGCTCACTGCAACCTCCGGCTCCCTGGTTCAAGCAATTCTCCTGCCTCAGCCTCCCAAATAGCTGGGATTACAGGTGCCTGCCAACACACACAGCTAATTTTTTTTTTTTAGAGACAGGGTTTCACCATGTTAGGAGATGGTCTTGATCTCCTGATCTTGTGATTCGCCCGCCTTAGCCTCCCAAAGTGCTGGGATTATAGGCGTGAGCCACCGCGCCCAGCCAGCTGTTTTTTTTTTTTTTTTTTTTAATGAAAAGTATAACAAATGGATTTTGATGGTTTACAGCAAGTACTTTTTGAAACTTACACTTTCTGACAACTGAATATCCAGCTTACTTGCCTTTTGGCTTAGTCAAAATAAATTTATATTTCGACTAGAGTTGCTTATAGTAACTTTTTAAAGGTACTATTCTTGAAATGCTAGCTGTTAGGATTAATTTGGGGATGACATAGGCAGCAGACTTTTTTTTTTTTTTATTTGAGACAGTCTTGCTCTGTTGCCAGGTCCCAAGCTTGGAGTGCAGCGGTGTGATCTTGGCTCACTGCAATCTCTGCCTCCCAGGTTCAAGCAATTCTGCCTCAGCCTCCCGAGTAGCTGGGACTACAGGTGCATGCCACCACACCCAGCTAATTTTTGTATTTTAGTGGAGACAGGATTTCACTGTGTTGGCCAGGATGGTCTTGATCTCTTCATCTCATGATCTGCCTGCCTCAGCCTCCCAAAGTGGTGGGATTACAGGCGTGAGCCACCACGCCCATCCCAGAATGGTTTTTATTGTATCTTTGAAACTTTGATTGACAAAAAAATCATGTTCTGGGCTTTGGTGTATGAAATGTATTCTAAAACTAAAATATTGATTAAACAGAAGTTGGGACTATAGGCCTGGCCTGTGCCACCAAACCCAGCTGAGGTTGTCTCAAACTCCAGATCTCGTGATCCACCTACCTCAGCTACCCAAAGTGCTGGGATTACAGGCTTCAGCCACCCAGCGCGGGCTCTATTTTTTATTTTGTATTTTTAGTGTAGACAGGGTTTCACCATGTTGGCCAGGCTGGTCTCCAACTCCTGACCTCAGGTGACCCGCCTGCCTCGGCCTCCCAAAGTGCTGGGATTACAGGCATGAGCCACCATACCTGGCCAAATGATGCCTTCTTAAGGAAATCCCTACTGTGATGCTGTTAGCAAAGGGAAGCTTTGATACAGTCTGTGCAAGTGTGGCAAATGAGTGAGTGCTCTCGGATCACCTATGCTAAGTAGTATTCTCTGAATCGGTAGTTAGGCAAAGTGTGCTTGGCCTGATGCTCTCCTTATGAGTGACGTGGACATCATTGATAACTTAATTTTAATTTTTTTATTTTTTACAGGTGAAGGTCTCTCTAGGTTTCCCAGCTCAAAGACCTGGGCTCGAGTAGTCCTCCTACTTCAGCCTCCTGAGTACCTGAGACTACAGGTGTACACCACTGTGACCAGCTGATAGTTTAATGTTTTTGTTTTGTCTTGTTTTGTTTTTTAGACAGAGTCGTACTCTGTTGCCTAGGCTGGAGTGCAGTGGAGTGATGTTGGTTCACTGCAGCCTTGATGTCTGGGCTCAAGCAATCCTTCCACCTCAGCCTCCCTAGTAGCTGGGACTACAGGTGCATAGCACCACACCCAGTTAATTTTTGTATTTTTTTGCAGAGATGGGGTTTCACCTTGTTGCCCAGGCTGAGGTGGAAGGACTGCTTGAGCCCGTGGAGCTATGGACATTACAGAAACAATCCAGTGGCTCACGCCTGTTATCCCAGCACTTTGGGAGGCCAAGGTGAGCAGATCACCTGAAGTCAGGAGTTCGAGACCAGCCTGGCCAACATGGTGAAACTCTATCTCTACTAAAAATACATATAGCTGGGCATGGTGATGGGTGCTTGTAGTCCCAGCTACCTGGGAGGCTGAGGCAGGAGAATTGGTTGAACCTGGGAGGTGGAGGCTGCAGTGAGCTGAGATTGCGCCACTGCACTCCAGTCTGGGCGACAGTGAGACTCCATCTCAAAAAAAGAATAGGCCAGGTGTGGTGGCTCACGCCTATAATCCCACCACTTTGGGAGGCTGAGGCAGGTGGATCACGAGGTCAGGAGTTCGAGACTAGCCTGGCCAAAATAGTGAAACCTCATCTCTGCTGAAACTACAAAAATTACCTGGTTGTGGTGGCATGCTCCTGTAGTCCCGGCTACTTGGGAGGTTGAGGCCTGGGAATCACTTGAACACAGGAGGCGGAGGTTGCAGTGAGTGGAGACCATGCAGTTGTACTCCAGGCTAGGTGACAGATTGAGACTCTATCTTGATAAAAAGTTATAATTCTTCCTGTTCTACATTGAATTTCAAATGCAACAGGTATCTATAAAGCAATTACCATGGGTGAACTATTCAGAGAGAACCATGACATAGTCTTGTCTGCCAAGAATTTAGAGCCTACGTAGAAGAAAGGAGATGGTTACCCAGGTATTTTATATCTGTAACATAAGGTAGAGCATCTGGGCAGTCTAGTAATCTTGCTTGATTGCTCAAGGGAACAAATGCAGGCGTTCAGAATTGTCTGAGAGTTCTTTTTGGCAAAAATGTCAACTGGTTTTGTTACTCTTTCATCCTGCTACTTTTTTTTGTTCTGGAGGTTGGGTTGATCAAGGGAGGATGGTATAAAGGTAGCAGCAACAGGGGTCACTAGTCCGTAGATTACACACTTGTCCCTCAGGTAATGAGTGTTAACTGTCTACGTCTGCAGCTTGATTCTTAAGGCAAATAAATACCTGATAAAAACTTGTAGAATTTATTTCTTAATTTTGGTAGTGACCTGGATATTTAAAGCACTATTTACCTTTTTCACCTCAAATTATTTTAATATTAGTTACATTTATGTAATGCTATCTGTGTTAGGTGATTTTCTAAGTACTTTATTTAATCCTCATGTCACCTGTGAGGTAAGTACTATTGTATCACAATTTTACTGACAAGAAAACTAAGATTAGTTGACTTTTCTAGAGTTACGTAATTAAGGAGACATAAAGTTGGGATTTGAACCCAGGCAGTCTGGCTTCAGAGTCCATGCTCTTAACCAGTAAGCTGTGCTGCAAAAGAATTTGAGCAGCATCTGGTGAAATAGAATTTTTGTGTTTTTTTTTTTTTTTTTTTTTTTGATGGGAGATGAAGAACATATCCTCTGCCTCTTGTGTCTTACCACAACTAGGTGGCATACCTATCTTTGCTGTAGGAAATACTTGGAAATAAAACATAAGGAATCCCTGCTCCTAGCTTCTTCCTCCTTGCTTGGTATCCTCTCTGTGATAGTCACAGAGCAGTTTTGCATGTGACATTTACTGTCCAGTGCTTGGCTCTGCAGAGAAGATGGAATTGGGCTAGTGCTGGGTAGGGAGTGTTTTCAGCCTGTTTCATCCAGTACTGTAAAGCATGTGTTTGTTCTGTTTTCATTGTGATAGTTTGATTTAAGAAATGTTAATGGTAGTTTTCAAACATCCATTAACTGAAAAAATAAGGTGGTATAATAAAACTTTATTTTTTGATTCTATATGTATACAGCTGCCCTGAATATATTCGTCTCTTGTGCAAGGGTGATTGCTTCTGGGCATTTCCTGCTAAAAACAATAATGTAATTTTGACTTCTGTTTATTTCTAGGAACCCTAAGGACTCTGCAATATGAATAATTCCCTGGAGAACACCATCTCCTTTGAAGAGTACATCCGAGTAAAGGCACGGTCTGTCCCGCAACACAGGATGAAGGAATTTCTGGACTCACTGGCTTCTAAGGGGCCAGAAGCCCTTCAAGAGTTCCAGCAGACAGCCACCACTACCATGGTGTACCAACAGGGTGCGAACTGCATATACACAGATAGCACCGAAGTGGCTGGGTCTTTGCTTGAACTTGCCTGTCCAGTCACCACCAGTGTTCAGCCACAAACCCAGCAAGAACAGCAGATACAGGTTCAGCAGCCACAGCAGGTTCAGGTATATGGGAAATGCCTGTTTAATGTACTTTATTTGCTGTCATTGTTTTATTTAGCGGGATCATCACGTCTATGTGGATGTCATAGGTTATTTTCACTAAGGGGGACTCTTTGAAAGTTTTTATTTAACACAAAGGTTTTCAAAGTTAGTGTGGACTAAAAATTTTTTTGTTTCCTTTTTCTTTTTTTTCTTTAAGTTTTTTTTTTTTTTAAACAAACTCTAGTGTCAAGGGTTGACTTTGAATAGACTGCAGCCAGGGAGCTGCTTAGCTACGTTAGCTACCCAACCCAGAAGCAGGTTGTCTATGAATAGTTTGGCGCTAGGTTCAACATGCCTTGCTTGATGAGCTGGGGGTAGCCACCTTTCCAGCAGCACCCCTTTTCCCAGGATCAGAGGCTCTCTGCACTGGAACCTGATTTCAGCACATGACCCTGCTGGCAGTGATGTCAGTGATGGTAGGTGACTGGCTTTCCAAGGCCAGTCGACACTGTTGCTGCCATGTCATTGTACCTGGGTGGGTGAGTGGTTGTTTTTGAGATGGAGTCTCACACTGTTGCCCTGGCTGGATTCTCCTGCCCCAGGCTTCTGAGTAGCTGGAATTCTAGGCGTCTGCCACCACAACTGGCTAACTTTTTATGTATTTCTTTCTCTTTTTTTGAGACGGAGTCTCACCCTGTCACCAGGCTGGAGTGCAGTGGCGCGATCTCTGCTCACTGCAACCTCTACCTCCCAGGTTCAAATGATTCTTCTGCCTCAGCCTCTTGAGTAGCTGGGACTACAGGCACACACCATTATGCCCAGCTAATTTTTGTATGTTTAGTAGAGACAGGGTTTCACCATTTTGGCCAGGATGGTCTCGATCTCTTGACCTTGTGATCTGTCCGCCTTGGCCTCCCAAAATGCTGGGATTACAGGCGTGAGCCACTGTGCCCAACCAGTTTTTTGTATTTTTAGTAGATCTACCTGCCTCGCCTTCCCAAAGTTCTGAGATTACAGGTCTGAGCCACCATACCTGACTGCACCTGGGTTATTTTTCTTTTCTTTTTTTTTTTTTTTTTTTTTTTTTGAGACAGCCTCACTCCGTCACCCAAACTCAAATGAAGTGGTGTGATCTTGGCTCATTGCAACCTCTAGCCCCCAAGTTCAAGCTATTCTCATGCCTCAGCCTCCTGATTAGCTGGGACTACAGGTGTGCTTCACTACTCCTGGCTAATTTTTTGAATTTTTAGTAGAGACTGGGTTTCCCCATTTTGGCCTTGAGTTCCTGACCTCAAGAGATCTGCCTGCCTCAGCCTCCCAAAGGGCTGGTATTACAGGTATGAGCCATCAGGCCCAGCCCTTTTTTTTTTTTTTTAAGACAGGGTCTTGCTCTGCCACCCAGGCTGGAGTACAGTGGCATGATCATTCTTCACTGCAGCTTTGACCTCCCAGGCTCAATCAGTTGTCCAGCCTCAGCCTTTCAAGTGGCTGGGACCATAGGCATGCACCACCACGTTCAGCTTTAAAAAACACAATTTTTTTTTTTTTTGTAGAGATGAGGGCATCTTTCTGTGTTGTCCAGGCTAGTCTTAACTCCTGGTCTCAAGGTATTCTCCTGCCTTGGCCTCCCAAAGGGCTGAGATTACAAATATGAGATAATATGCTTGGCCTTACAAATATTTTCAAGATTACTGTAAACTAAAAAGACTACAGATATTTGATCTTCGCTTTGGAGAGTTGAATAGTTTAGAAATTAGAGATCTTTTGGTACTGTATTTAGATGTGATAACTTCATGTGTCTGAGGCTTCCTTTTTTTTTGAGACGGACTTTTGCTCTTTTTACCCAGTTGCTGGAGTGCAATGGCGTGATCTCGGCTCACCGCAACCTCTGTCTCCTGGGTTCAAGCAATTCTCCTGCCTTAGCCTCCCAAGTAGCTGGGACTACAGGCATGCGCCACCATGCCCAGCTAATTTTTGTATTTTTAGTAGATATAGGGTTTCATCATGTCGACCAGGATAGTCTCGATCTCTTGACCTTGTGATCCACAGGCTTCCTTTCTGTTTGTGTCATCCTGAGTAGAGACAGAATACAGGAGGGCTGGTCTTTGCTCATTACTGATAGTGTGACATTTGAAATTAATTTAAAAATGGAAAAGCTGGCCAGGCATGGTGGCTCACGCCTGTAATCTCAGCAGTTTTCGAGGCCAAGACAGGCAGATCACCTGAGTTCAAGAGTTCAAAACCAGCCTGACCTACATGGAGAAACCCCGTCTCTACTAAAAATACAAAATTAGCCTGGTGTGGTGGTATATGCCTATAATTCCAGTCACTTGGGAGGCTGAGACAGGAGAGTCGCTTGAACCCAGAGGTAGAGGTTGCAGTGAGCCAAGATCATGCCATTGCACTCCAGCCTGAGCAACAAGAGTGAAATTCGTCTCAAAAAAAAAAAGGCTGATGTATTTTAGTAATCTTCATTAAGTTATACGATTCCATAACTCAGATCACCTATAGATTTTTAGCTCCGTGTTTGTCATTTAGAAGCTATAAAATGACCGAGCACATTCGCTCACACCTGTAATCCCAGCACTTTGGGATGCCAAAGCTGGTGGATCGTTGATTGAGCCTAGGAGTTTGAGGCCAGCCTGGGCAACATGGCAAAACCCCATCTCTACAAAAAAATTAAAAAAATTATGCAGGCATGGTGGTATGTACTTGCAGTCCCAGCTATTTGGGAAGCTGAGGTGGGAGGATTGCTTGAGCCCAGAAGGTTGAGACCAGCTTGGACAACGTGGTGAAACCCTGTCTCTACCAAAAATAGAAAAAAATAGCTGGGCATGGTGATGCAGGCCTGTGGTCTTAGCTGCTTGGGAGGTTGAGGTGGGAGAATTGCTTGAGCCTGGGAGGGGGAGGTTACAGTCAGCTGAGATTATACCACTGCACTCCAGTCTGAGTGACAGAGTGAGATTCCTTCGGTGGCTCAAGCCTGTAATCCCAGCACTTTGGGAGGCCGAGGCAGGCAGATCACGAGGTCAAGAGATGGAAACTATCCTGGCCAACATAGTGAAACCCTGTCTTTACTTAAAGCAAATACAAAAATTAGCTGGGTGTGGTGGCATGTGCCTGTAGTTCCAGCTACTTAGGAGGCTGAGGCAGGAGAATTGCTTGAACCTGGGAGTCAGAGGTTGCAGTGAGCCAAGATTGTGCCACTGCACTCCAGCCTGGCACCTGGCGACAAAGCAAAACTCTGTCTCAAAGAAACAAAAAAAGGGTACCCTAAGCCGAGAAGTAGAGGATACACAGAATAGAAGTTCCATGGGGTAGCTTTAGACCTAAAGGTTGGGAATTGACTAGAGACTTTAAAGCACACGCATACACATATGTATACTTACAGTTAACATTAGCTTGATGAGCAAGTTAAAGACAGGTTAGTTTGATGATAATTGTTAGATAATCTTACTTTGAGTAAGCATCATAGGCTGGGTACAATGGCTCATGCCTGTAATCTCAACATTTTGATAGGTCGAGGCAGGAGAATCCTCTGAGCTCAGGAGTTCAATACCAGTCTGGACAACATAGTGAGACCGGTCTCTACTAAAAATAAAATTAGCCAGGTGTAGTGGAGTACACCTGTAATCCTAGCTACTGAGGAGACTGAGTTGGAAGGATCGCTTGAGCCCAAGAGTTTGAGGCAGCAGTGTGCCACGATGAGGCCACTGCACTTCATCCTGTGGAACGCAACAATACTTTGTCTCAAAAGTTCTTTTTGTGGTTCTCTTGCCCACACAGATACCAACTATTAATGTAAGTTAAAAGTGTAATTGAAGGAAACTTCCTATTTTTCTTTAAGAAATAATTTTCTACTTTAGGCTTTTTTGCCTTACTCGAGTAGTTCTAAAAGTCTTAACACAAATTTCTGATCTATTAGATGCTAATGAGACATGGTTTGTGGTATATGATATCTGCAAGAGTAGTTTTATTCCCCTCTACTGAAAATGTAATACTTTAGCCAAGCTTGGCCAGTTGTGGTTGCTCACGCCTGTAATTCCAGCATTTTGGGAGTCAAGGTGAGTAGATTACTTGAGCTCAGGAGTTGGAGACCAACCTGGGCAGCATGGCAAAATTCCTGTCTCTACCAAAAAATACAAAGTATTAGCCAGACATAATGGTGCATGCCTGTGTTCCCAGAAGGTGGAGGTTGCAGTGAGCCAAGATTGTGCCACTGCACACTAGCCTGGGCAACAGAATGGAAACTCCATCTGGAAAAAAAAAGAAATTTTAGCCAAGCTTGGCTCTGTCATCCATGCTTGAATGCAGTGGTATGATCATGGCACACTGCAGTCTGGACTTCCTGGGCTCAAGTGATCCGCCTGCCTCAGCCTCCTGAGTAACTAGGACTACAGCTACCATGCCCAACTTACTGTTTTTTTAAATTTTTTTGAGACAGTCTTGCTTTGTCACCCAGGCTGGAGTACAGTGGCGTGATCTTGGTTTCCTGCAACCTCAACTTCTCGCGCTTAAGGGATCTTCCCACCTCAGCCTCCTGAGTGTCTGGGACTACATGCTACAGAGTGGAGTGGCACAATCATAGCTCAGTGCAGCCGTGAACCCCTGGGTGCAAGTGATCCTGATCTGCCATTTCAGCCTTTGGAGTAGCTGGGACTACAGGCATGTACCACCACACCTGGCTAATATTTTTACTTTTTGTGGAGATGGGGGCGGGGTCTGGTTATGTTGCCCAGGCTGGCCTCAAATTCCTGGCCTCAAGTGATCCTCCCTTCTGCCATAGCCTCCTAATTTGGGATTATAGGTGTGAGCCACAGTACTTGGCTCCCTATTTCAATTTTAAGTGAAATTTAATACTTTTTTTTAGGAAAAGATGTTGACAGTTATTATATCTGAATGATACTTTTTTTTGGTGGGGGGGGACGGAGTCTCGCTTTGTCACCAGGCTGGAGTGCAGTAGTGTGATCTTGGCTCACTGCAGCCTCAGACTCCCTGGTTCAAGCGATTCTTCCTTAGCC